TTTTTGTAAAAAAGTAGACTAAATTTAATATAGTTTTCTCATAAATTTTAAAATTTAAGAAAATTTTTTTAACAAGCACCCGTGTAATACACGGGTGTTGTACTAGTTTATTAATATTAACTAAAAATATAATAAAGCTTGACCAAAAAAATAAAAAAAATAAAAAAAAACAATAATAATAATAAAGTTATTTATCAATAAATTTATTACATGACATGAGGTATAAAAATTACTATAATCAATATGAGCACGTCATTTAAAATATCATAATAATTATTTAAAAATAAAACAAACACTTCTTTCTTTGAAAAAAATAAATAAAATTTCACAACCATCATGTGTATAATTACACGGGTGACCAAAATAGTTCACTCGAAAGGCTCCGTTGTATATTTCTTATTTCAGGCGTTGATTGTTAAATTTATATTTATATTTTTATTATTATTTTTTTTTCTTGGATTTGCAGATTAGATTCGTGTTGTCATTGTTCTATTATTACATAAACTTTCTGCAATTATCATTCGTTTCACTTATTGTATGTATTGGAAACTTTTATCCATGTATTTTGTCTTTATGCGATCGGTTGTTCGAAATATCTGATGAATGTTGTATGCGTAAGAAATTTGGCTTTGTACTTGTAAATCAACGACATAGAAAATACTCAAAATCTATATAACATCATTACAACATGAATGAGAAATTAATGTAGTAGGTGTGAAAAAATATAATTCGAAAAGTGGGATTTTTTTTAACCTCTCAAACCAAGCCGATTTTAAAGTTTGTCATACGAACTTTTTTCTTGACAATTCGCCTCTCATAGTAATAGAAAATGTCAATTTGCCTCCACGATTGAAAACTCTATATGGCTGTTGGATTTTCATAAGATTTACACATTAGAAAATTGGTCCTACAAACTTTCAATGACACATTCCAATTGAAAATCAAATATCTTGATTATCAGAAAACTTGAATTGAGTTTTTTTTCTATACACATGTGCTCCTACTATCTTCGATCGATTACAGAGGTATCAATTTTCTGAAGTTGACAAACCATACCTCATTTTGTTCGTCTCGCTATGTGCATTAAAAGCCATAAATCAATTTTTAAGATCAATTTCAAATTTTATCGTTAATTGAGTTAAAACTTTTTGTGCCATATTAGGGTTTTCAATTTCAGTTTCGATTACTATGGGAGACAAATTGTCAAGGAAAAATGTTCGTAAGGCAAACTCTAAAATTGTTATAGTTTGAGAGGTTATTTTTTTTTTTTACCTTGAAAAGTATTAAGTAACTAAAAAATTGTTAAATGTGCAAGCATTTGGTATTTGACGAATACTTGGGCAAATCTAACGAGATGTAATCATGCATTGAGCATGCTTGAACTCTAATAGGGTTCAATGGAGACAAGTAGGAAAAAATTGGTCACGATTTGGAGTCCGAATAAGCGCGTGCGGGCTCACGGCACGTGGGTGCAACTGGCTCCATCACGGCCCGTGATACCTGCAGCTAGCATCTTATTCCAATTTTCAACAGGGCAACACTTGTCGAGACCCACATGGGTCGCGTCCCTTTGACTTTCGAGTGCGTCCGGGCATGTCCCAAAAGTTTTGTTTTAACACTTATACCTCTTGAGGTGTTTCCCTACACTTATAAATACTCTCATGCATGAATCATTCAATGCTCTTGCAATCAAAGAGCTATTACATTACATTTTTAAATGTTTATATTGCATTGCTATAGCATGAAGTATGCGATCGGCCAAGCTACATGAGTGCAACTGGCCTAGCTATATGAGCTCGGCCCGCCTCACTAAGAAATCAACTAGTTGCTAAGGTAGCTACCAGAATCGGCATTTGTGGGTGACTTTTTAGATGCAGCTCGACATAACCATGGAAGAGCTTAGGAGGGGTGTACCGAGCTACTGATGATAGCAAAGCCAAGCTGGGATATCCGTGTTGAAGGATGCTCGGGATCTACTCAAAGAGGTTAGGCGTGGGGAGAACTCTGAGATTGGATAACTTTCAAAGAGACGATTAGGAGTAGGATTCTGATGGAGAAGGAAGTCCCAGAGTTCATGGACTCTTGGGTCTATATAAACTTCTCTCATTCTTATACAAACTCGTACACGCATATTTTCAAAATACCTTATTTGTTTCTCCTAAAAAGTAAAAACCCTACTGACTTAAGCGTCGGAGTGTTCACACCGGGACCACCACGGCGTGTTTTGCAGGTACCGGCGATCGAGAAGATTCCATCCGATTCAAGGGGAACGATTGAGCGGTTCACGAATTTGCGGTGTAACAAACATATTGTGTTATTTAATTTTTCATTCAGTATAAGAATTTATAAGAATTATGAACTCGACGACATACTCCATAATGTGTAAGGTCTGGTTAAGATGTCCAAAGAATTATGAAATTCTTTAGAAACAAAGTACAAAACAAAAAACAATAGAATTAGGAAAATTTTTTTATGGTAAATTGTGTACGATTTTTTTTTTTGGTCGAAGAATTGAATGTGAACTTTCAAGTGGCGACAATTGTAAAAAAGTTGTCTCCTTTGTTGGAAGGTCATTGATGCAGTCGAAAGCACATGAAAGACACGAGAGTATAAAATACTCGATAATAATGTAACTTTATTCAATCATTCACCTACTTCTTCATCATATGATTACATAATTTATAAGAATTCTTGTGACTTTTTGAATGCCCCCTAATAATGTTTCTAGTTTTTAGCTAATGTTGAGTGCCTCTTTGATTTTGGTACTTTGACTACTACAAACTTCCATACTAACTTTAAGATAGCATAACAATATGAAGAGTCACATAAGCATGTAACTCATGCACGACGTCTACGACGCTCGTATTTTTCCATAAACGCCAATGCAAGCTCGTCTCCATCATCCACCCCCGGTTGGGAAGGATTCGCCTTTGAATCTAAAATAAGCTCGTCTTCATCTGCTTTATCGCCCAAATATGGCACGAAACGTGACGATACCGGAGTAGTACCCAAGGCGGAATTGCCATTCGTTTTCCCCTATCGTTCACGAAGGTTGAATACCACCCAACCAGTTCAACACTCCCCTCCAAAACTGTCGAACAATTAGCCGCCCAGAATGAAACAACTAGTGCACCAACAAACTTCATGACATTAATGTGTGTTGGGAAAACTTTGACCTCTCTATATTCATATAATTCAATTAGCCTCTGCATGTCCACTACAAGAGCACCGGTAGCAGCAGGGGAATCCAATCCAGAGACGCCCATTTGGTTAGTGTGTTCAAAAAACTTCCTATCTTGAAATTACAAGAGGATGGTATCTTATGGTCCAAAGTTCACCGCGTCAAATGCTCCAATACTAAGAACGAAAGATATCCTCTTCATGTCCCCGCAAAGATGTTTCTCCATCAATGGAACCTCTTCATCAAAGATCAGCGAACCATCGTAGAAATCACCTGCGTCGAGGTCAAAATTCTGGGATTCTTCATCAAAGACCGGCGAGCCATCGTAAAACGATTTGTCGCCTAAGTCACAATGCACGCCGTCATCCTCCCGATGATGTGTGCCGTGTTCATCCCCGTTGAATCGTTCTCCGTGAACCCCAAAAGGATTCACATCAGACTCCGTTTCATCTTCACAGAACTCCTCGTCGTCGAACTGTGGAGGCGGACGGTGGTGGGGCGCCCCACCGGGTCCGCGTCCGTCTCGGCCACCATGATGTCCTCCGCGACCTCGCCATCTTCCAGCAAAGTCCCGGTTCGCATGCTCACCTGGAACAATGATTGCAAGAGCCAAACGAATGTCCTGAAGCCCCACCGAGAGTTCTTCAATTTGACGCCCCATCGCCTCGATGGCGGCATCACGACTGTCGTCGGCATTGTTGCGTCTCGGTGGCATCGAGGATCGTGTAGCTAGACTCTGAATACCAACTGATGCAGTCGAAAGCGTACGAAAGACACGAGAGTATAGTATACTCAATAATAATGTAATTTTATTAATCATTCGCCAACTTCTTCATTATATGATTACATAATTTATAAGAATTCTTGTGACTTTTTGAATGCCCCCTAATAATGTTTCTAGTTTTTAGCTAATGTTGAATGCCTCTTTGATTTTGGTACTTTGACTACTACAAACTTCTATACTAACTTTAAGATAACATAACAATATGAAGAGTCACATAAGCATGTAACTCATGCACGACGTCTACGACGCTCGTATTTTTCCATAAACGCCAAAGCAAGCTCGTCTCCATCAGTCATCTCTTGCATAAACGCAAGCAAGCAAATAGGTGAAACTACGATTTTTATTGTTCGACTTCGACTTCAGATAGAAGAAGATAAACGAAAAACTGAAGTATTCGTCAAATGGAGCAAGATAGCACAAAGGCAAATCGTAAGAGCCATAAAATTGCATCTAAGGCAAACCAAACTGAAACGCCAAGAAATATAAAGACGTTTGCTAGGATGGTGACAAATACGAGTACCTTGTAAAATACCACTAACTTTGAAGAGGGGTAGGAGGATCGTGCAAAATGTGCTAAATGTCAAGGACAAGATCAGCCATGTGAGAGCTCGATCTTTCCGTCACGATCCAAGTATTCCCTTCATTAAAAATCCACGTTACTTGATAGTGAAGATGTCACATTCAGCAGTCAGCGCTTTTGTTAAATTATATTAATAAGTTGTATGCGAGAAATAATGCGTTCATTCAGGAAATTATAACAATTTATATTGTTACCAGAAAAAAAAAAAAAGAAAACCATCAATCAACTCATCATCAAAATACTGTTCTGTAACTGCAGTTCAATCAAAGAGGATTATGGATGTAACATTAAAAACAAGATTCTGGTAATAATGCTCGCAATCCGGCAAACAAAATCATCAATTACCTTAACTCATCCACCAGAAATTAAATCAAGAGGTTCCGGATAGGATTTGATTACCTCGATAGATGTCTAGAAGTTCAGGAACATCCTTCTTGTACCCCTCGATATAGGTCTTCAAGAAAATCTTCTCGGACACTGTCAGCAAGGACGTGACAGCCGCATTCTTCAGTCCCTTCTCACTCAAAACCTTAGCAACCGCCCACCTTGGCTTCATTCTCTTTTCGACGCTGTAATTAAGAAGCAAAGGGCACCGAGCGACGTCACCTGGTGCACACCCTAATTTATCAACAAGAAAACCCATACTCTCCAGAATCTTTTTCTCGGACAAGGCCATACAGAGCGGAAAACTCAGAAAGGCGGTCCTGATGTCAGATTCCGACCAGCCACACTTTCTATAAACCTCCATCTTGTGCTTGAGAATCGACTCCTCAAAACCCAAAACCCGAATGGCCATCAAAAATGCATTATTGGTGACGTCAAACCCCATTTCTATTGCTCTACCCACGCACAAGGATAACTTCTCCTGAGGAACCATGAGCATTGTTGGCTGGTACGTGAACAGTGACACGAGAGATGGCCAAGGGACACCGCAGTCCACAAGAAACGAGAGGTTGGACGAGAGGACGTCCACCCGGCCCCAGCGGAAGAACTGGGGAGCCTGTTTAAAGACTTGAACGGCACCCTCATTCGACCTGAACAGGTTTTTCAGGAAATCGTATAAGGGGATGATCGAGTTCTCAAGGCTGCGATATAAAATCAAAGGGTTCCGGGACAGGCTGCTGGCCAGGATGGGGAGGGGGACGCCAATGGAGGCGAAAAACTCGAGCTTGGGCCAAAGGGTTTTGTCTGGGCAGGCAGAGAGAACGTTCGGCCACCGGGTGACCATTATAGAGATGTCGGCGGCCGTGAATCCGTACTCTCTGAGGAGATTCAAGACCGCGTCTGGTTTTTCAGGCGATTTCAGCTGGAGTTTACTGGAAGCGCGGACGGCGGCATCTGGGGTCAACTCGCATGAGCTTACGAGGTAAGAAAAGGTGAAGGATTTCTCAGAGTCATTTTCACGAACAGCTGGCGGTGGTCTCCCGGTGGTGAACGGCCTGGAAAAGACCTCAAGTTCAAAAGCCCTAATTTGACGGGAGGCCAAAATAGAGAACTCCGGTTGGAGCCTGAGTCGTCTGCCACGGAGAATCGCGAACATCGTGATTTGAAATTCGATTTTGAACTCAACGGACTTAGTGAGATGACGAGGGTTTGATGTATTTGCAGTCTTCTTCGGTGATTTAGAGGGAAGCGTGAAAATTTCTAAGGTAAGTGAATATTTTGACAATTAGCACTTTTTGTGTTCCAATTTGATTTACCATATTTTGTTCTATGTTTTATTTTTCCTCTTTAGCATAATGGACTCTTAGTTGGGAGATTCTAATATCAGATTTGACTCGTACCAGCCTCGTACCTACCTAACATTAGGTTCTCCGTTAAAATCATGCCATGTGTCCCAAAATTTAATTAATTAATAAAATAATTAAAAAACAAGCTTGGATAAATACTAAAGTACCTTTACTTAAAAAAAATTATAAACTAGGATGATTAACTATTATGATATTATTATTAGACCCTAATGACATGTACATATTCCAATTAGACAACGAATTGAAATTAAATTGCATTCTATCTTCAACACAATCAATCATCTTCATCTTCAACACAATTAGGCGTGATGCATAAAAAAAAAAAGATATTTCTTCCCCGTCGAAGTGAAAAGCTTGCTTTGAATGATTCTGTATTCAATCATTAATCGGCATCGTGAAAACAGAATTTATGATGAATTAGATCTGTCGATCTTCAAATAAAGTCCGGGTAAGTGTTATTTGGTTTGCTTATGCTTCATATTCTGAATTCTGAAATCAAATTTGTCAATCAATTCTGAAATCATATTAATAACGATTTGATGATATATTGAATATCCCTTTCCAAAACGATCGGTGATACTTATTTAAGGCTGATAAAAATCGATAAATTGAGGTAAATATTTTGAATGTCAATCGCATTCTGTATTGCCCGTATTTATCTGATATGTTCATTAGCAATATTACTAATTAATAATGTGTTCGAAATTTGATGTGCTGCTATTCCTTCATCTGGCTATGCAAATTATGTTGGCTAGCAATGAAATATTTTATGTGAATGTGCGGTTGATTTAATTGATTACATTGCTGTATTTGTTCTTTTATTTAATAGGCACTATACATGCTCGAAGAAATGTATGAATGAGGATGATGACCCTGTTTTTATATCTTGTTGTGTTGGTGTTGTGCAATGATTTGAGATCTTTCTTGAAGTCATGACGAGTGCCAGTATTTGCCCGTTGAAGATCAATGACGCATGCAACCATACATATAATACAAATGCTTATTTGAAACATTGCATTTGTTTTGCTGTAGTTTGCTTAAATATTCGATAAAAAGATTGGCGCTTGTATTGCTGAGCATTTGTACAATTCAATTGCTCTGAAAATGTGTTATGTTACTATTTGCAACGAGTAATAAATGTATATTTCATCAATTTTGAAAGTGTTTGTACCGTGGTTTATCAATGTCAGTGTCCATTTTGTTTCTCTTGATAATATTGTTGTGGAATGTATGGCTAAAAGAGAGGGGGAATCTCATAAACACTTGAAACATATTTTCTGGGTTTGAGGATGTGAATAGGCAATGTAGATAGCAGCTGTGAGATGGTATCTTTTGAAAGGAGTGCAATCTGGTTGGAATGATATTTGGTGCATATTGAACTATAAGAATCCGGTGTCCAAATTCAATAACAAGCAGATAGTTGGAGCCGGTACCAATGTTGTTGTGGGGCTTCGTTTCTTTTGTTGAAAGTGTTTTGATGTATTGTATACATTGGTAAACTATAAAAACGCACACGATTGAAGTTGAACTTCTGTTTTGGACTTTTGATGTATTCCCTATCAGTTGTTTAATATATTGTCATAATGAACTTCATGAAGATATAAGTTCAATTAACAAAAAAAAAAATTGTTGTTGGTTTGCCTCGGTTATGAGGAAGAAGGATGTTTGACATGCGGCAGTAAAGATCAGCGGAAAAACAAACACATCAAACATTAAACTTGTAACACGAAAAACCGACCACTTTGGCTCAAACAAGAAACACGTATTTTGATCAAGAAACCCGTTTATTTCTCAAGAAATCGTTTTCTTGTTCAAGAAACTCGTTTTTGTTCAAGAAACCAGTTTCTTGAACAACAAACTGTGGTTTTGTTCAACAAAATTGTTTTTTGTTCAAGAAATAGTTTATTGGTCAAGAAACTCATTTTTTGTTCAAGAAATTGTTTTTTGTTCAAGAAACCCGTTTATTTGTAAAGAAAAATGTATGTTGAGCAAAAAACGGGTTTCTTGTTCAAGAAATTTGTTTCTTGTTCAAGAAACTCATTTTTTGTTCAAGAAACCCGTTTATTTGTAAAGAAACTAGTTTCTTGAGCAAAAAAAGGATTTCTTGTTCAAGAAACTCATTTTTTGTTCAAGAAACCCGTTTATTTCTCAAGAAACTAGTTTCTTGAGCAAAAAAAGGGTTTCTTCTTCAAGAAACTCGTTTCTTGTTCAAGAAACTAATTGTTTGTTCAAGAAACCCGTTTATTTCTCAAGAAACTAGTTTCTTGAGCAAAAAACGGGTTTCTTGTTCAAGAAACTCGTTTCTTGTTCTAGAAACTCATTTTTGTTCAAGAAACCCGTTTATTTCTCAAGAAACTAGTTTCTTGAGCAAAAAACAGGTTTCTTGTTCAAGAAACTCGTTTCTTGTTTCTTGAACAAGAAACTCAATTTTTGTTCAAGAAACCCGTTTATTTGTAAAGAAACTAGTTTCTTGAGCAAAAAAAGGGTTTCTTGTTCAAGAAACTCATTTTTTGTTCAAGAAACCCGTTTATTTCTCAAGAAACTAGTTTCTTGAGCAAAAAAAAAAGGTTTCTTCTTCAAGAAACTCGTTTCTTGTTCAAGAAACTCATTTTTGTTCAAGAAACCAGTTTATTTCTCAAAAAACTAGTTTCTTGAGCAAAAAACGGGTTTCTTGTTCAAGAAACTCGTTTCTTGTTCAAGAAACCCGTTTATTTCTCAAGAAACTAGTTTCTTGAGCAAAAAAAGGGTTTCTTGTTCAAGAAACTCGTTTCTTGTTCAAGAAACTCATTTTTTTGTTCAAGAAACCCGTTAATTTCTCAAGAAACTAGTTTCTTGAGCAGGTTTCTTGAGCAAAAAAGGGGTTCCTTGTTCAAGAAATAGTTTATTGGTCAAGAAACAGGTTGCTTGAGCAAAAAACGGGTTTGTTGTTCAAGAAACCCGTTTCTTGTTCAAGAAACCCGTTTCTTGTTCAAGAAACCCGTTTCTTGTTCAAGAAACTAGTTTCTTGAGAAATAAACTCGTTTCTTGAACAAAAAACGAGTTTCTTGAACAAGAAACGAGTTTATGAGGAAACCCGTTTTTCGCCCCCTCACTACCTATTGTCTTGATAAAAACTGTTTATTGAAACTCGTTTCATATATTATTGGCAAGAAACCCGTTTCTTGCCTGGCACACCAACAAAATGAGCCAAAAATTCAGTTCATATATTTGCACAATTCCAAAATGAAAAGAGTATAGAACAGCATACACACAGAGACAAGATACAGAAACTAAAATGCAAGAGAATATGAACTCGAACTCTTATGTACCCATCGTATACAGTTAGAGTTTGTGCAAGAATATGATATTTCAAATGAAGGCCTATTGAAGGAAAAAAAAACCCCGACAATAACATATGCTCTAAAATTTACAACACAAACATCTGCTCTAAAAAACAAACTGTAAGTGAACAAAGCTTCAGCATCTAAAAAGGATGTTGCTCGATTGACTTTGTGAAGAGCATAAAAAGGTTGTATTTGCTTCGTTATTTTCCACCCTGATTGACTGTCTGGATAACATTTGAATAAAATCCCCAAGACGGACTAGTTTCAGTTATAGCACTTTGACCAAAAGGATGTTGCTCGACATATTTCTGCACATTTTCGTATGTCAACAATCCTTCCAAATAGACCCGAAGGTCACCTTTTGGGCCTGCAACAAAATTTAACAAAATAAGTATGTATTTAATGTGAGGGCACCGTTCGGTAAAAAATAACCACGAAAAGAAAAGAACAAACAAATATATAACAACAAAAAATACACCGAGTACAGTACCTAAGGAATTGTAACTTTCATTATCCTTGTAACTGTATGAATTGGGGAATATTGCCGTGTGCAACTATAGGGAATTTGAAAAACAAACAGTTAGGACATAACTGAAAAAAAGTAAACACACACAAGAAATATACAGGTACGAAGGTACAAATCTTACTGGATTGAGTAACGCCTTATACGGAGAATCATCCAACAATAATGTGTTTGTTTCATTATATTGTCCCTTTTTCCAACGTAAATTAGGACCATCACTTTCCCAGATTTTCCTGATGTCCTTGAAAACCAAAGGTTTATCACAGTTTTCAAGAGTGTTGAAGCCAGCTTGAGTGCTATGAAACATATCCTGCAGTAAACCATATGTTTATGTATCACAAACTACAAACTACTAAAAACTGTTTTTGTACCATGACATATGGAAGTTTTGAGAGAGCCGCTTACCCAACAAAACAACAAGTGTTCTTGTAGATCGCCTAATAAAAATTTAACAAGTAGGTCAATAAGTTTCCTGCATTTCAAATATATAGTCTGAAGTCAGCATGACAATTCAGGAATTGGATACAATTTCTATAATATAAGTAGATTCTGTCGAAGATACAAGAATGAAATTAGTACGAAACAAATGCTAGAATCAACACATTTTTTAGAGAGAGATATAGAGAAGAAACTAGCTTAAAACATACTTTGACCTTGACGACCATATGCCAACATCAAAGTTCTGAAAACAAAACTTCAAAAAATCGTCACAGTAGGGTCTCTTGAAAACTACATATACCAAAAAGAAGGGTGAGGTCAAAATAAACTCGGTAGTTGGACTTTTCGAATATCTTAGATATAATAAATAAAAGTAACAATAATAAATCAAAGACAGACTCAACTCATCATCAAATCTCACCTGCTCGCCCTAAAATATGTGCGTCTCCTCGACAGCCTTTCGGGGCTGAATACAATATGTCCGCAAGAAGTCCATTCACATCAA